TGAAGATTTCGGGTTCCGTTGTCGAAAAGAAATAAGATTTTAGAGATACATATCGGTGTCATATAATGCTATTTGGAACCATAAACGATCATTATATATTTTCATAAATGTTCGTGGTAGGCTTGAGTGAATGAAATCGGTGAAAGTTGTAAACCGGTGAATTGGTCGTTTAAAGGCAAATTGGATGATTCCACCCACCCAATTGGACTCCCGGAGAGTATTAGGGACCACGGTAAACATTTCGGCAATTTTTATTTCCGGACGAATAAAAGTAAAAAAAAGCCCAAGATTGAAGGCTAATATCCACGTTTTTTACAAATTTTTGAAGTTTCGGGTCCCGGTGTTGTAAAGGCTTGAGATTTTAGGGGATACATCTCGGGGTCATATATGTCGTTCGGAACTATATATGATCCTTATATGTTGTCATAAATGTTCGTGGTAGGCTTGAATTAATGAAATAGGTGCAAGTTGTAAATCGGTAAATCGGCCGTTTAAAGGCAAATTGGATGGTTCCACTCACCCAACTGGACTCCCGGAGGGTATTAGGGACCATAGTTAACATTTCAGAAATTTTTATATCCGGGCGGAAAAAATTCAAAAAACTGCAAAATTAAAGGCTAATATCCAAGCTTTTGAGAAATTTCGAATGTTTCGGGGCTTGGTGTCTAAAAGCATTGAGATTTTAAGGGATACATCTCGGGGTCATATATTTCCTTTTGGAACCATATATGATCATTATATGTTGTCATAAATGTTCGTGATAGGCTTGAGTGAATGAAATCGGTACAAGTTGTAAACTTGTAAAATGGTCGTCTAAAGGCAAATTAGATGGTTCCACCCAGCTAATTGGACTCCCGGAGGGTATTAGGGACCATGGTAAACATTTCGGCAATTTTTCTTTCTAAGTGAAAAAAGTCAAAAAATTCCAAAATAAAAGACTAATATCCACGCTTTTTGGGAAATTTTGGAGGTTTTAGATAGAGCTGTTATTTCGGGTAAACGGGTTGGGTTTGGGTCGGGTCAATTCGGATTAATTCCATAACCTATGCGTGTCAACCTATGCGGGTCGGGTTTGGGTTGGTTTATGCTTTAGTCGGGTCACGACGAGTCATACTTCTTATCACGTTTGGGTCGGGTTAATAACAAGTCGGGTAACATTCGGGTCGGGTGAAGAATAGGTCGGGTTTAATTCGGGTTTTCACGAGTTAAAACGAATTGGGATAATTCTCGGATTTGGTTCAAGTCAATAATTTGCGGGTTATAATCAGGTCGGGTCATTCCTGGGTTTGAGCCGGGTTCGCTCGGTTCAAGTCAATAATTTGCAGGTTATAATCAGGACGGGTCATTTTCAAGTCGGATCATTCTCGGGTTCAAGTCGGGTTCGGTTCAAGTCAATAGTTTGTGGGTTATAATCAAGTTGGGTCATTTCCAAGTCGGGTCATTCTCGGATTCAAGTCGGGTTATGTTCAAGTCAATAATTTGCAAGTTACAATCAGGTCGGGTCATTTTCAAGTGAGGTCATATTCGGGTTCAATTAAATATAAATTGATAATTATCATTTTCTCCAACCTTATTATTTTCTTTGACTATATATATATGGCAATATAATATGGAACTATAGTATATAATTTAGGAAGATAATTATCTCCTTTGACTATACAACAAATATAAACTATATTTAACTCTTAAATTTGAGGATGATGCTCCTTTCTTCTGCTGGCCTGGACCGACTTGGTCTCCTTAGACAAAATGTTTTGATCAACAATAATAAGGTGGTATAAATTGCATTTAAGGTGATTTGAAATCGAGTCAGGAAAAATTTGGGTTGAATTTAGGTTGGGTCAATAACAAGTTGTGTTGATTTCGAGTCGGGTTAGTAACAGATCGGGTTGATTTTTGGGTCGGGTTATTAATAGGTCTAGTAAAATTTGGGTCGGGTCAATAACAAGTTGGGTTGAATTTGGGTCAGGTCTATAACAAGTCGGGTTAATTTCGGGTCGGGTTTGTAACAGGTTGAGTTAAATTCGGGTCGGTTTAGGAACGAATCGGGTTGAATTCAGGTCAGGTTAGTAACAACTCGGGTTAAATTCGGGTTTTGACGGGTTGAAACGGGTTTGGTTCAATTTCGGTTCAAGTCAGGTTCGGTTCAGGTAAATAATTAACGGGTTACATTCGGGTCGGATCATCTCCAAGTCAATTGATGTTCGGGTTCGGGTCTCACATACTCGGGTCAACTTGGGTCTAGGGTTGGTTTCAAGTCGGGCCAGGTCGGGTTTGGGTCATCATTTTTTGGGTTTAGATGGGTCGGTTGATAATCGGGTATTAGTCGGTATTTCGGGTCGGGTCAAATTTTGAGAGCCCTACTCCAACCTACTAATACTTGTCCTTTTAATTTGTTTAGTCTTCTCTATACTCTAAAAGAATTTGTCTTTTTTTTATTATTTTTTTTTTATGAAAACTTTATAACTAAAGGGCAAATTACAACCTAAGAGATCTAAAACAAGAAACTATACTAAATACAAGAACAAAACACACGAAAACAAAAACATAAAACTTGGTAATTTGCACTTGATGGAGCCCCTGGGTGTTGGATGGAATCCACGAACAAAACCATAAAAACCTGTCAAAACAAACTATACCTGCGCATTGTCAAAGTAATTGATTTTGCTTGCATTCTGTTTGGGCCAAGTCCATGTCCTAAGCCCATTGACCTAGAATTACGAAAATACCCCTCCATGATCCAGCCCATCATTAGTCAGAGTAAAGTATAGATTTACCCTAATCTGTCCAAATAAGTACAACTTCTACCACCTAAAAGTACATTTATAAATAGCTCTTCAATCATTAATGATGGTAACTTTTTCCTAATTTTCTAACATTCTCTCTCTACTTTCTCTCTCTAAAGTACTCTTTCTCTCTCTATTTTCTATCTCTAGAAAGTACATTCGCTAACTTAAGCATCGGAGTGGCTTTCCCGGGTCGCACCGCCGGGCAGTTAACCTTCTTTCTCTTTTGCAGGCCTAGCTCTCGAACAGCAAGGCATAGCTGAGGAGAATTCAGACATTCATTGGACATAAATCTAGGACATCTAGATTTTATTACCCTAACACCGAGGAGTATTCTGTTTCCAGAAACACATTCCAATTGATGGGATTGGGTTATAAGACAGAGTTACATAAAGAGATACTTTGAACATGATTCATTGATTCGTATTCTACCTTATATCGTTATCATCGTAAATTCGTAACACTTGTCGTTGAAACCTTACTAATCAATGAATTATTAACTTGATTAATTATGAAATTTTTGAAAGAACCTTAAAATAGGGCCAATTTGTCAATTTTAATGATGTTATGTGATACATTCATATATTCATTTTCAGCCCTCAATTTGTCAAGTATTTGATATCTTCATATCAATTATTTTCAAGGTAATACTCATGCATTATTTCTTTTTTAAGAATACTCATGCATTGACTTTTTGAGTAGAGCTTTTAAGACCGAAGTTTGAATAAAACTTCTTGTACACTATAAATAAGGATCATTAAACAAAAATAAACAACATACAAGAAAACCCTTTCTCTCTTAGATAAACGTAAAAAGGAAACATTACGAGACACTTTTCTCGAGGTGAATATATCAATATGAAAATAGTATAATGCACCCGGGTGCACCCGGGTGCACCATGCGCATGGTGCACCCGGAAAGAACATTAGACATATTTTAAAGAACATGGGCAAAAAAAAAGAACATGTTAGTGTTAGAAAAAGAACATACCTATGTTTGACAAAAGAACATGTTTGTGTTTGACAAGAACATGAGATTACAAAGAACATAAAGTCTTTACAAAAAGAACATATTATTTTTCATGGTTATTTAGGTGTTGGACGTGTTTGAAAAGAACATTATATTTGACAAAAAAGAACATGTTCGTGTTTGACAAAGATGTAGGAGATCATTGGGTGGGCCGGGCCAAGGTTAAAAAATCAGCTCACTTCTCGGGTCGGGCCAAATTTTGGGCCGAAGTTTTTGAGCCCAAAATTGTCCGGCCGTGCTGGCTTTTCGGGTCGAGTAAAAAAATCAACTAAAATGCATAAAACGCATTCCCAAACCCGCCCAAAAAATTAAATTTAAGGGCCGGGTCCGACCCGATTTTGGGGGCGAAAAAAAATCTGCCCAAAACCCGTGCAAAATTGGGTCGGGCCGTTCTAACTTTGATCACCTCTAGCCAAAGAACATAAAGTCTTTACAAAAAGAACATGATAGTATATTAAAGAACATGTTCTTTTTTCTGGTTAGTCGAGTGATTGTTTTTAATTTTTTTTTCTTTAATTTTTTTTTTTAAATGTACATGCATTAAAGAATATATTGTATAATATAAAGAACATATACTTCAAACTCAAAGAACATAATCATCAAACTTAAAGAACATATTATGCTCATGTTCTTTATAAATATATATAATGTTGTTTTTTTTTCCCATGTTCTTTTAAATATACCTTATGTTCTTTCCGGGTGCACCATACGCACCCGGGTGCACCAACCATACATTAATATCAATATACACTTATACTTGCAAGTTGCAACCAAAACACAATTAATACGAAGTAATTGTTTAAATGGTAGTTGATCTCGTTGTTTATAGTAATCTTCCAAGAAATGTTAATCTAATCTCTAGCATTGATCATTAGATAACTCGTGTCGAAAATGTAGTACATTTTTTATGTCTCTAACTAGCATTTGTAATTTTGTATAACATTCAAATCCGTAAAATTCACAAAAAAAATTTGTCTAACAATTTGTTTATTGATCTAGTAGTGTTTGAACTGTACTTAACTGTTTATGAGAGAAGGAAATTAGAAACTGAAATTAAAGAGAACAGGTCCTTAATACGAGTATCGTTTTTTTTTTTCCTACCCAAAAAAAAAAAAAAAAAACGATAAATTGGGGTAGTATCGGGCTGGGTCAGTAGGGTAATCGACGTGGTCTAAAACTCAACGCAGCAATAAGTGGTACATACACTCTACAAGTGGGCCAATGGGCCCCAATTAGCAATTGTGTTAATCTTAACCATTCCAAAAACTTGAGGGTTGTTTGGTTCTTCCTTATTCCTAAACAATGGAAACTCTTTCTTCCCTCACTACCCTTCCTCTTAACTTTACTAATTCTTCAAGCAAAATAACTACCCAAACATGTCTTATTAACCCTAGTGGTAAAGTTTCCATTAATATCCTTAATCCTAAATTAAGAAACTCAACAAATCAAGATTATTATTATAATTGTATTAAAGTTAGGCAATTGAAGGTGAGGGTGAAAGCAATTGATGATGTTTCAAGAGTGATTGAAGATCCAATTCAAGCTCAAGTTTCTTGGGAAATCATTGTTGGTTCTCTAGGTCTTTCTTTCTCTCTCTTGATTTTTGCTTTCATAATCGCTTCTTTCGTTTCTCAGTACATGTAACAAGTTGACTTAACTGTACACTTATAAGAAGTCAGCTTATTATATGTATTGAGAAAGATTTTGTATAAGACAGTATACGCATGAATATATACATGATTTTTTTATGAAGATATGTTCTTTCACCAATAGATGAAGCCCGAAAGGATATAATATATGAATATGATGTCTATATTTAGGTATGTACTAAAATAAAGAATATGAATGAGAACGAGAATTGACAATTGTGAACCCGATTAATAATTTTATTACTACTTCGTAGTTGGTCACATTAGAGATTGTATGTTATGAAAACAATTATCGGCATTAGTATCCCTGATTTTTTTTTTTTTTTTTTTAATGCAATCGTGTATATTATTCTCATAACACTGTCTATTATACTTTATGATGCACCTAACTCGATATATATGCTATAACTTATTACTCCGTACAAAATATTACTATTCACGCAAACACAAAATTCACATTAATGTTCATTGTATGTGGGAACTTAAGGTACCACCGATGAACACGTATGTTGAATATATAACATTCATAAAAATCAATTGATCATGCAATTTTTAGGGACCATTTAATTATTGTTTTGGAACATATTTGCATTTGATAAGGAAATAAAAAAATACAAGTACTTGTACCTCATTTGATAGTAGGACCAGAGCACATCAATTTTTACTAATTTGGCATCGATCTATTGTTAATGCAGCTGGAGTAATACCTTTCATTGTTGCGGGAATTGAATTCAGCAAAAGAATTGTAAGTAATTTTACCAAAACATTACACATTTTCACCTTTATTGTAAGTAATTTTACCAAAACATTACACATTTTCACCTTTCTTCACCTACTATTGTACGTTGTAAACCGACATTCTATATAAGATCATGTTCTCTTCATCTTTTTCTCTACGATTACTTGTGAATTGTGATAAAATCAAATATTGTACAAAGTATTTCTTTTCCTTTTATATGGTAGTTACTTGAAATACTTTGTACCAATTTAAAGATTTGACAATAATATAAGAATGATGCCATGATAAGTACTATTGGACTAACATAGTCCAAGTCCAATAAAGAATACTGAATACGTACATATTTGATAGTTAATTATGAGGACATGGGACAATAAAATTAAAGTTACGGACTTGTTGAGTAGGTTTATTAAGACTTTAAATCTATTGGGTAGTGCTTCCAATTATAAAAAAAGTCATGACTTACGTACCAAGATAATCGAATAATATTGGCTACGTTCATCTCCTGTTTTAATTCTTAGGGCCTGTTCTCTTCACCTTAATTTCAGTTTAATTCAGTTCATTTGAACTCGGCTCCAATCAGTTCAGTTTAGTTTTTAATTTTAGTTCAATTCAGTTTAATTTAGTTCAGTAAATCAGAACAGACCCTTAATCACCTTTATTTGATTGAAATGTATGATTAATCTAATGATGCAGGCAGCACAAAGAAGTTGTGAGGTTTGTGGAGGTTCAGGATTAGTTTTAAGGGACAAAAAATACTACTTCAGGTGCCCTCGATGTGGTAAGTGTTCGTTTTCAAAATCTTCGTTGATTTTTTTATACACATTAATTTTTATTGATATTTACAAGCGTACATAATAGTAGTTATAATTATATACATATTGTCACACATTTGATTAATTCAGCTGTAATTTTATTGTACCAATGTTATTACTTTGACAGGAGGTTTTCTACCATGGCAATCTTGGAGAAGATTCTTTTCAGGGTAATCAATTTAGGGGTTGTTTGGTTCAAATACTTGTAAATGACATGTATTCAAATACAGGAGTAATGAAACTAAATAGTGAATTACCAATGTTTTTGAATTCTCTATCTATGTATATATACACGGATACACTACTCATATATCTAGCTACAATATTGATTAACATCATTTGCCCTTGTATAATACGGAGTATAAAGTAGTGATTGAACTCCAATTCATTAACAAACATAGTGTAGCCTATTATTTTTAGTCCATGGAAACTAGAATATCGCACCTAATATTTCATATACAGTATGCTGTAAATGTCAATAAATTTAGTTGATTAAAGTATACATAACAAAATCTTTATATGCTTGGCAAGCTTGTTAACATTCTTGTATACTTCAATCTTCAACCCCTATTATATGTTTGTTAGACCATTAATAATTAGTACTATTAGACAAAGTCCAAGGAGTATTATGGACGTTAAACGCTAGTCAATTGAGTTAATGGATAATTATCCCGGATTTATCATTAATTAAAATGAATTGAGAAAAAGCAAGAGTAATATAGCTAATTAAGGCAGTTGAGCCAGCCAAGAGAAAATTCAACTCAAATTCTTCAAAGAATTTTAGTAAAGCTTTCTACACTGTAAAATACACGATAAAATGTTAGGCCAAAAATAGCTAGTTTACAAGTTGACGTTACATTTATAAATAGAAATCTTAATTTATATTTTGGGTATTAAGTAATTAAAATAAATACAAGAGTATAAATATACGAGTATAATTCTAGAAGTATTAGACTACTATAAATAGTAGTCAGTACACGTATAATTTATAGTTGAGGAAAGAATTTAGAAACCGCGGAATTATTTTTAGAAAGTCAAGAGTCAAAGTTTCTAAACTCGGTTGTACAACAAGTTGCTCGTTTTCAAAAAGTGTTTTCACAAGTTGGTCATTTTATCCGTTCTCATAAACAAAGCAATGAAAGTTGGTAGGACCAGTTTACAACGCAGCTATCTTTTGGTGGGCTTTGGTTGCACGGTTGCATCAATTAATTAAGGAAAGCTAAGCTAAATGACACTTATAAATCATAAGTAATTCAATCAACTTCACTAAAAATGTAAGAATATATGTTGCCAAATAATACATTTTGTTGCTTGTACGTTATAGTCGACACTCTCTTAATTACTAGGTTTAATATGACATGACAGCACAATTGAAATTTAATTAGTTGACTGTTTTGTGTACGTAGTACTCTGTAATTCTGTATGAGGTATTTGAATATGATAATAACTACAAGTTAAAATCTCAAGTTTAATCGAAACCCTCAAAATACGTCACAAAATTGATCTAATGGTTTGATTTGATCGTGGAATGAATTATGTAAAATGAAGATTGTTTTGTTAAAAAAAAAAAAAAAAAAAAATCCTTGTATAACTTTGTGTATCTTATGTCAATAAAATAATGTCAATTTATTTGTAAACTATTCCATAACTTTTTTTTTTTTTTTTTTTTTTTTTGACTAGTCTTGTTTGTTGACAAATATTATTCTTAAGGTATATGTTCAAAATTATGAAACATGCATAGGCACTTCAATTGATTTGATCATCATACCCATATCGGACACGCGATACATTCTTGTATTTTACGGTTACATGATACTTTGATATATTATATTATAAAATATATTTTTTAAACAAACTTTGTTCTTAGTTTATTTATAAATGATATTCTTTTTTTCATTTTACTTGAATATATAATATACTCCTTGAAGTAAAATTTAACAACTATTATTGTTTAACAAAGTCTCCATTTAAGTGACTTTAAAAAAAAAATCTCTATTTAAGAATATATTATACTATTACAAGTATTAACTTACTCGTACTTATATCCTCTACTTTTAAAATAGGGATATTACATACTCTGTACACAATTTATACCGTTCAACTTTTTTTCGGCAAACTTAGGTAAATAAGGACCATATTAGGTTAGGAACGCTCATATATACCTCATATTACATTTGCTCATTAAGTATAAGTTGAATAATGGAACATTACTGATCTCTATTGTCAATAGTTTCAGGCCAATTCATAACAAATTTGGTCAAAATAAAATTCCCAAGTGAATATTCTTCTAAATTATTCATCACATGACAAAAATAACCAAGCAAGAAAATATAAAAGTAGAGTAGCACTAGAATTTCATGAATGAAAAAGTGCTTGACATCTAGCTATTAGTCACATGTCAAAATCTAATAAATAAACAAGAAAAGTATGTTGAATTAACAATTTCTTGGATTAGAAGAGTCGGTAGTCGGTACAAGGTTATAAATCAAAGAGAGTAAAAAATTGGAATATCTTTAGTATGATTCTTATCTCACTTGTAGAGTGGACCATATCTTTGTTAGTTGTATAATAAGATCATCACTTATTGACCACAAAATCTGTTTCTTGGAAACCACTAAATTAGAACCCTATGTTTGACCACATGTCACAAACCCACTTACACCAAATGCTTGCCTCACAAGTTACAACATCAAAGGAAGGTGTCAAATTTTGTTACGGAGTTACCCGGTTTTAGTTGTTTCACTTCGACTTGTACTTTAATCATAAAATAAATGTTAGAGAACCAACTGAACTAAAACTTTAAGTTGATGGTTGAAATTCAGGATCAATTTTAATACTCTGTTACGCCCCTTCACATGAGAGTCTATTAGGCTTGAAGTGTGAGTATAAGATATAACATGAACCCCACCATACCTAGCCTTTAATAATCCACTTTGAAAAGATGGGTGGAAGAGATTCGAACTCGTGACTTTTGTGTCACGCTAGCTCTTGTACCATGTCTCTTGTACTCATGTTAAAGGATTAACTCAACTAAAAACTTAAGCAGATGATTGAAGTTCAAGATCAATTTTAATTTTCAATACTACAAATGATATAACGATTTGAAATGTCTAATACGGAGTACATATATTTTACCATTACAAATGTTTGAATCCACCAACTACATTTGCTTGGTAGCATGAACATTTCCTTACCTCTTCTTTTTCTCAAGAACTGACCTGCAAAGCTAAGATGACTTAATTTACGAGAAGTGCTGATTCAGTAGAGTCTTTCATCGTATATAACTAATACAAGTAAATTTTTTGGAGTATGATCCAAGTAAATAACAATTATGAAACGGAAGAAATATTGTACTCCGTAATAGTTTGGACAGTACACAGGGCGTGGCAAAATGGAAATTTTGGTAGAACAACAAGGTTAAGTATTGTTGTAACTTGTGTAACTTGCACCTCTCCTATAAAAAAGGTTCAAAAGAATCCATCCATCTAAAGATCTAACCGAGTAAATTAGAAACTAAATTGACCTTCTTCAGGCGAAAAGAGAAGCCTATAATTTTATTCATTTGGACTTGAACTTGGCGGCATAGAAGAGAAGCTACAGCTCTAAATTAAACCAAAATTCTGGTTAGTACAAATTCTAAAAAACCCATCTTTCTTAATTCATAAGCTTCAATATGATGTCGGTGTTCTTTGTTTTTACCAAAGATTGAATCTTTGTTCTTAATTTGTAAAGGGTTTGTTATGTCGGTCGTACCTAGCTCTAGGCACGCCGACGCCGATATTAGAGTTAGGTACACCCGAGTGTATAATAAGAGTAATCTTGTTATTTGCACTAGTATGAAATAGGGTTGAATTTTTGAGTAATATGAAGTTTTGTGATTTTATGCTGATTTTTAGCTGGAAATGGGTAGTTGTTTGCTGAATGATAAATGGATATTTATGTAATTCTAGTGATTGTTCTAGGTTTTAAAGATTGAATCTTTAATCTCTTTTCTTTTAGCTTAACTGTAAAGGGATTTTTGGATTTTGTTAGTTCAATTATGGGTTTGATAAGCTGAATTTTTCTGGGTTAGATAATTCAATTTGGTGATTACATGGATTTCAGATTGTTTTTGAACTTTGTTTGATCGGTTCATTTCCATGTAATTTGGTTTGATTTCAATAATTTTAGGTGAAAAGGATGTTTTTTACTGTTCTTAGATTCTGGTTGATGTATCACAATTCTTACAAGAATGTCAAAATTTTATGTTTCAGGAAATAATTGATTACTATTATTCCATTTCACTGTTTGCTTATCATGTTGAATAATATTGTTTGATTTCTCCTGTAATTTTGTGAAATGCAAAATAAATTCTGTATAAAATCACCATGAATAACAGAATAAGCCACTTTGATTCCCATAGTTTCTATTACTGTATATACTGCATATGATTTCGAGTTTTCGACATCAGTTATCTAAGGCCATTCTGTTTGATGCAGAATTTCTAACCAGGAAGTTTGTTCAGAAATAAATTAGGACTCAGGCGACGTTTTCAGTCTTTAAAGGCAAGTATTAGTTGCTGATAACAACTTCATTACATTGTACTTCTTCCAAGATCTGAACCAAGGTCAATATACAAAATGCAGAATCTGAGAAATCTTCAAGGAATATATTGCACCTTTGAATCTTCCTTGTTAAGTGGTGTAGATAACCCTTGTGGATCTCCATCAACCGGAAGCATCTCTGGTAACGGGAGCACAGTTTCACTTTTCGATCCTGAATCCCCTTCAATTGATTCACTTGAAATTGGTAATCTTTGGCATCATCTCAAAGAGCTCGAGTCTGTCATGATGGAACCTACTTCAGATAACTTTTACAATGAGAATTGGCAACAGTTGAGGGAGATGATATCGAGAAGGGAACTTAGGGAGGTACTAATTGCTTGTGCAAAAGCGATATCTAATGATGATTTGCTGACTGCTGGGTGGTTGATTTCTGAGCTACAACATATGGTTTCGGTTTCTGGTGAACCGATTCAGAGATTGGGAGCCTACATATTAGAAGGGTTGATTGCGCGATATTCTTCTTCAGGAATCTCTATCTACAGAGCCTTAAACTGTAAGGAGCCTACTAGCAGTGAATTCCTCTCTTATATGCAGGTGCTCTATGAAGTCTGCCCCTATTTCAAGTTCGGGTATATGTCAGCTAATGGGGCAATTGCTGAGGCACTGAAGAATGAGGACAGAATTCATATAATTGATTTTCAGATTGCTCAAGGGAGTCAATGGGTTAGCCTTATCCAAGCATTGGCAGCTCGGCCTGGTGGGCCCCCAAGAGTTCGTATAACAGGCATTGACGATTCCACATCTGAATTTGCTCGTGGAGGAGGACTTAACATTGTCGGAGAGAGATTGTCCATGCTTGCTAAGGCATGTAACCTACCATTCGAGTTTCATGCTGCCGCACTTAGTTGTGGCGCTGAGGTAAAAGTTCAAAACCTTGTTTTGAAATCTGAAGAAGCCTTGGCTGTCAATTTTCCTTTCTTACTGCACCACATACCAGATGAGAGTGTTGGACCTCAGAATCACCGAGATACATTATTGAGGCTCGTTAAGAGCTGGTCACCCAAGGTGGTTACCCTTGTTGAGTATGAGTTGAACACAAATTCAGCTCCTTTTTACCCTCGGTTTCTTGAGACCCTTGAATATTATTCTGCAATTTTCGAGTCAATCAATGTTACCCTCTCAAAGGATCGCAAGGAACGGATCAACGTTGAGCAGCACTGCTTAGCAAAAGAGATTGTCAACATCATTGCATGTGAGGGTGCTGAAAGAGTGGAACGGCATGAGCTACATGGGAAGTGGAGATCCCGGTTTACAATGGCTGGGTTTAAACCATATCCTCTGAACCCACTAGTAAATGCTACTATCAAAAATTTATTGCAGAAATACAGCAGGTGTTATGGACTTGAAGAGAGAGATGGAACTCTTTATCTTGGGTGGATGAACCGAGCTATGGTTACATCTTGCGCATGGCAATGAGGTTCAACAAAGTGTTTGGAGGTTTCCTTGAGAAGGGCTGAGGCATTTGATACCTGGGATTCTATATCAAGCTTAAAACTCTTAACTCAGGCTGCTATCTTTCTAGAGAGATTCGAACCATAACTATTATATGCCCAAGGCAGAGGTGTTATTGGTGGAGCTCCTAAATATTATTTTCGTCATAAGAGGACTTCCACTAGCTGGGGACTTCAAGTCTTCAACATTACTCACTTGGAATTTGAAACTGATGGTTTGGACTTGAAGCTTATACTGGAAAGAGTGCATGCTCATCTGGATCATTTGCTTGCTGCTGTCCTCACTGATGTCAACACATTTCTCAGCTCGGAATGCAGTGTGAACATCATACTGGCGGTGAAGCTAACTCAGTGGCAGATAATCTAGCCAGGTTTGCCTTCTGTATGAAAGATGAATGGAAAATCCACTTTGTCGTAGTGGAGGGCAACGGAGCTACCTGTGTTGCTGACCTACAGGCTGCAATTGAAGGTTCTCACATTACACGATACTTATCTAGATTTTGACAACTGATGGCTCAAATTCTTATGTGTTAAATTTTAGTTAGGTCCTAGGTTCTGGTTATGTTTAGCCTCTTTTCTCCTTCATGAAGCAGTGAGAAGTTTTCAAGCTTTCCTTCGAATCTGTACTTGTGTAATGGCATTAGGAAACCCCCTCTGTACAAAAATACAAGTAGCTGCTGCAGGAATCCAAAACTGTTATGTTTGCTATCCAATTATAATTGTTATTATTTCTAGCTTTTGTACATGATATGTTGGGTGAATGAATTAATCTAACTTAGTTTAATACTACAACAAAGCAAGGAAGTACAGCATTAGGGCTTTTCACTATCAGATGCTCAGACTTGAAACAAAAGCCTCTATAATTTCTAATCGAATCGTACTCTTCACTTGCTCTATCATTTGTATTTTTTATTCTCCCTGCTATGATCCTGCAGATAATCACTGCCCTTTTCGAATTCTTTCCCTTTAGAACTGCTTTCATACTCTCCCTCAAGGCCTCACTGCTAGTACATAGTTGAACCCCGAACCTTTTTGTGTACTTCATGTCGAAACTAGAGCATATAGTCCTGCATAAGTTACAGTAAGAATGGTCACAGGGTCCTGAAATCAGCTCTGATTGTCTGCTGTGGCAAGTCATGGTTGTGACATAGAAACATAAGAGTTCATTCCCATCGACCAAGCTCCTGGGTTGCTTGTCTCCTGTCTCCTTAGCTTTCTGCTTCACCATGTCCCTATACTTCTCAAACTTCTCAAGTACTTCTGATGAGTTCTTCACCCTGAATACATTTCTGATCTTCGATATTTTCTTTGCCGGGTTTGTTAAAGCATCTCCAAGGATCTTTTCAATGACTTTCCTTGATGGGTCTCCTACACCAATTTCTGTAAAATGCAAATTCAAGTTAGACTTGCATTTTCCTATAGTGAAATATCAAAACTGATGCTTAGAAGCAGTAATTTAAGAAATCTGAAGCTAACACTTCAATAATTGTCAGTAAAACATTTCCTAACCTCTAAAATGACATCCTAATTCACGACCCTTGAAACCTCATAGACTATAAATTAATGATGTAGTACTCAAATTCTTCATGCTCTATCCAACATTCTAACCCTTTCGGCCTGATTTGACTAGAAGCTCGAAAAATACATATCATAGCTATACAGGTTGAAGAGAACATAATACTTCTTCCAGCTTCAAGCTAACATTTTTCAATCATGATTGTCCCAGCTCTAACTTAAAGTATAACATTTAATACTTTTCCCTAAACTATTTATCTGTCAAATTCTACACCAACCCACATTTTTCTCTCTAGAGTTGTATTTTAATGTGAAACTAAGTCAAATCACTAAAAGTTACTCAAAATCTAGTGCTGAACACGCTCTGTATGTCTACCTTGTTTAATTTTGAGATCAAAGCTAGAATTGAATCCTACCATGAGTTTTATTTATTAAAAAAAAGTAGGGCTTTCTCTAATCCCCTCTCATCCCTTCCCCTTCATTCTCGAGGGTTAACCTATATAGATGAACCTTGAGGGGTCCGGTTCAGTAAGATCCTTCATCTTATCAACAGAAGATAAAGAAAAGTTAGATGTGTCACTGGGATACCTTTGAAGCTGCTAGAAGGGGCAGTTTGCTTGTAGCTTATAACACTCTCCATCACTTTACTACCAATGAGAACCTCATGTTCATGCTTATCCTCCTCGAGTAGGTCTAGGCTTCTTTGCTTGGAGAGTTTCTTTGGCCGACAAATGACATCGTTCATCTTGTTCCTACAACTGTTGTTTAATGAAATCCACATAGCTTGCATTTTTATCTCCAACTTTCCTCTGCCTTCAACCTGCATTATTTGTGGTATGAAATTATGAATGTGTTAAATTGAGAGGTTAAGATTACCAAACTTGGCTAAATTGCATCAGTTTGTAGAGTAGAGGGAAAACCAAAGGGATAAAAACAGAAGATATTAAAGGAATTTGTACTTTTCATATAATTAGCCATTAAATCCACCTCATTGAAGACAAATTTATATTGTTTCTTTCTTGAGCAAGAAATAAAATTGGTACATCATATCCATGCAAAATGTTTGTGTTTACTATAAGGTAGGACCTCTTTGGATATAAATACTAGGGACTATTCTTGCTCTTCATATTCACATGTTAATGTGTTACTTACCTCCTGTCTCAGCATTTTGGTCTCAATGTGTCTTTTATGTCCGAAATCAATTATGAACGATCACATTAGAGCAACTCCAATGATTAAGGGAAGGGGTTGCGAATATTTAAAATATCAAGCTAGTAGCTATACCAGTAATAGTTAGAATAGTCTTCACTCAATACTAAATTCTAACTCACCTAGGGAAATAAAATAAGAAAATTGACTATCTAGACATGATGATTTGTGGCTACAACATTATATGTTGCGCTTGTGCTATTAGCTTCCCAATTAGAGAATTGGTGCTAACTATTCACCTGATTTTTACTTATCTGAATTATTAGAACTTATTTTAGTTATAAATTGAACTTGGATAGCCTTGATTAACCCTTATCACAACTTATCTGAACTTATTTTTCCTTAACTTATCTTATTTGAACTTATTAACCCTTATCTGAAATTATTTTTCTAAAATAAGTGGAAATAAGGTGAACAGACCATATACAACAACAATCATAAGTTCATAACTACTCATATTTGCTACAAAAATATCCAAAATGAGAACAGTAGTAACCTCTCAGCAGTGTATCATATATTCATATTCTCGTCTAAGATTTTGTTATTGATTGCTTTCGAATCTTTTTCGTAAACGATGTAGATAATTATGCTGCCAATGGAATGTATAGTTTATAATCTTTTTCATAGGAATACAAACAGTTAATCAAGTTTATGTCAATTTCGTGTGTCAGACATGTATGTGCTGCGCCTGCAAGTGTTCTAGTTGGACAATTGGATGGTGTGTTCGTGCTTTCTATGGTAAGCGGAGTGCTAGCTGTGCAGCCTGTGCTACTAGTAGTACAAGTGCTTTGACAAGAAGGGTTTTGTTTGGAGGGGTGGCAAACGACTTGGCAATTGAACCCATCCTTTTCGCTCGGGACTTGCTGTGGTCCTGCAAAACAAAACTGTTGGGACAAATTTAGATGGTCACTCTTCAAAATTACAGGAAATGTTTTGTATGGTACGAGTAATTGGTAAGCGATAAAACAAGCTCTATTTTCTATCCCGAAATCACAAAGGAAAATTGTATATCACAGATATATAGTACGGAGTAATAAGTTTTTAGTGAAATCAAGGTCCAAAATAGCAAATCTACTAAACAATTACTCTAAAAAAGGACCCTTTTTTCATTCATTTCAAACAAATATATTCTTGATCTCTATTGCTCGTTTACAACAAACTGTACACAAGCTCTTGGCTCGGCTGATGAAATTTACCGTCTTTTCTGGTTGTATAGCCAGTTGAAATGGAAAATAACCATTAGGAATAGCTAACAAGCAACGAGAATTTGATTTCACTAAAATTGCGATACCTAGCCATCCTATGCAAATAAAGATATAAATAAAACATATAAAGAGAGAAGAAAAAGAAATTGTCATATTTTCGATTCCTCTTCTTAATCTAGGGACCCATGAGTATTCTTCCCATGTTCTGCTGATATGAATTAGTTGATGAGTGATTTACAGGCTGATTTCCAATACTATGCCCTTGACTATGGTTTTCCCTAGAACCATACAGCACCATACCACCATTTACATAACCAGGAAAAGTCGACATTGGATTTTGTTGAAGCAACAACAGATTATGACTGCTAAACTGGGGCTGGCCAGGTAAATGCTCACCACCCATAGCTTGCTGTTGCTGATGACCAGGGACGAACCCAGAGCCTGACCTGATCCCTACACCAAGATCAAGGCTTACTGCATCATTGCCTTCTCGTGACCCCATCCTTGATGCCATACTTTGTGCTTGTGGGGCAGCAGTGTCGTGACTACTATTCCGAGCTGTAGGTACTTCGTGATTGTGTTTCCCCTCATATGTTGTTATGACAGCTTTTGGGTCATGGGATGCCCTTTCAACATGTTTCCGAACTGGGCATCCAGGATGAGTGCACTTGTAATAACTCCTGCATAAAAAGAATGGGGGACGGTAATGCATTTAGTAAAGCGGAAGCCCAAAGTACGAGCCAGAAAACTATTTAAAAAAATTGCACAATACTTCCTGTGAAGAGACATAAGATAATATTGCTTTCCTTCCCAGAAAAAACCCTAATATAAGAGTGATTCATATTCTAAGGCTTCAGCCCCAAAAAGGTAAAAAGCTCAAGCATGCACAGCCAAGCTCATGCAGTAACAGAGAGGTGTCCAGTAGATCTTTCAAGTCAAATGCAGCTATTTTACAATGACACAGCTTGCCCTATATCCAAGGCCAACAACAAGTACTGAATTTTACTGCTATGCTAAATTTATATATCCAGCACTCAGGTACAAAGTTCACTGCAGTTAGATTTTCTTTGACTACCCCTCCCCTTCCCATGCCTTTCTCAGTTCTCGAATTCATTTTCCGCCAAACAAAATCAAAGAGCAATTGAATGAGGGGAGCAAAAGCAAAATTAGAAGCAGAAAAGAGAGGAATAAAATCTTGCAAGAAATTAACAATTTTTTTTTTTTTAGTAGGATGTTCTGATCATTTCATTCAGTTACAAAATTCAGGGGAATGAGAATGTAAAGGATAAAATATAATTTGTTTTTATGGATTATTGAGAATGCAAAGTAAAGAGTTACTTGAAAAATTACAAAAAATTGAACCATGGGAGGAAAAAATATTATTGACTGTGGTGGTGGTGGTGAAAGTGGTTCAAGCCTTGATCTTTCTGAATTGCAAAATGACTTGGGCGGTTGGGCCTAGCCAAGCCAAGTGGAATGATCATTCATCAGACTACTCAACATTAATATGTTTCAGGGATTATACTTCGCCATTATATCTACTAGTTTATCAATTGGGCCCAGGAGAATTTAGAGCTTTCTTTAAAGTAGTAAACCAGCAAATCAACATGTATTTCTAATGTGACTGTCTGATATCAGGACAATAAATTTTTGAACTTGGAAATTGGTTTCATAATCATCTTGTCACTGCATCAATGTGACCGTGTCTGATATCAGGACAATAATTTTTTGACAATCTATAGTCTATACTCTATACCCAACACACTACACACTTACCCATGTGCCATTCTGACAAAAAACTTACAATCAAGGACACAAAGTTCTTGGCTTATCATGATAATGTTATGCTTTTCCTAATTTACTTATTCCTACTACCTTGTTTCTTTTCAAAAAATTGAAGATGTCCCATTAGGAAAGCCATATAAAGCAAGAACAATATCAAGGCTGTAAAAACTTAATTGTCATCAGCAAATTAAGTCATCTTTATTGTTCTCTTCATGTTCTGGAATACACTCTCAAAGTCAAAGGCAACACTGCCCTTCATCACTCGACTACTCCGCCACAGCCAATAATTTCAATACTGAACCCTGTTTTTGTCGCTCTAATTAAATATCTGAGCTCCACCAAAAAAATTGGTGCAGTTTTTACAGGTTCTGGTTTATTTACCGTTCTGTAATCAACAAAAATATTATTCATAACCACATCCACAAGTGGTTTATAAGCTCTAAAAATTACTTAAACTATGTCTAAAAAAAGGTCCCCTCCCCTCCCCCACAAACACACTTCCCTTTCCCTAATTTGTCAGTCATGTATTAGTTTAAACGATTATGTTGTAGTGCAATAATATATCGTAACCTTTGACATCTGGGACTGTCATGACACTTGAGTTCTCATACAGTATTCATTCCCAGGCAGAACTGAACTTGATACAGACATTAACTCTAGCACTAATTTCAACTGCTAAGTCCTACAGTTCATCATAGCTTATACTAAATGCCTAGGTCTATTTATTAGTTTCATATCTGGTCAGCTGGTCCCCAGTGATTCATAAAAACTAGCAAGACAACTAGTTAATCCATTCAGTGAGTTGATACAACTTACACTTTGTTTAAAAAGAAGGAAATGGAAGGAAAAGAAGAGAAGAGAAAGGGAGGAGGACAACTCTTGTTTGGGTAAAAGATTGGAGGAAGGGGGAAAAGGAGAGGGAGGGATCCATTTTCCTTTTCTCTTTAACAAGCATATAATAATCCCTTATAAACTGGAGAGATTTGGAGGGAAATTGGAGCTCACCTTTCCCCCTCCCTTTCTCCTCTTTCCCTCTCCATCCTTTCCTTCCTTCTTGATATCCAAACAAAGCGTTAAAAGTCTCTCTATCTAAAGGAGGTAAAGTTGAAAGACCATTTCTAAATTGACATTGTTAGGAATATGTTGTTTATGAATCTTCCTACATTTTCTTTCACATTTTATAGATATACTCCATATACTTTCCCCCAATCCCCACCACCAAGAATTGTCCTTGGGCTATGGGGTTGCAGGTAATGGCTGTATAGATTTTATTTCAAACACTTGCAGATAGAGGCAAGCTAGAGAAAGAGGCACTCTAATAAAGAAACAGCCTCCCTGGTTTTGAACAAAACTGCCGTTGAAAAATAATGAATCATGTCAAGCCAGGCTTAGGAAAAGCCATTTAGAAATTAACAGGCAATGCCTTTTAAACTAATATATAAAACCACATGCCCTCATGCAATGGTGCACACACATATAGCTGATTTATAAAACTGCATGGAGAAGTGATAAGGTACAGCCAATATGGCAACAAGACATACCTTGGATTAGGGTTTCCTCTCACCACTTTCTGACCATACTTGCGCCAGCGGTACCCATCATCAAGAATATCAACCTCACTCACTGTTTGAACAACAACACGAGGTTCTCGAATAGGCTTAACTACTGAATTGATATCCATTTCACCTATTTCCATCCTCCTGGTAAGACATATCATTAGTTTATTAGCTTAATTACTGAATTGATGTCCATTTCACCTATTTGCAATTTTCAATCTTCGTAACAAATATCATAAGGGGGCATTTGGTCTAAATTATTCAACATAGGGTAATGAAATCAACAAGGCTGATTACCTTAATTGTCAGTTATGTCTATTTGGTCATTTTCTTTCCTCCACTCAATTACCTCAAAGTCCTCTACACTCATATCCCCCCCACCTCTCTTATGGTTTCAATTACCCTTTCTCTCCTCAACTACATAGCCATCATTGACCACTACTTTGACCACCACAACCACTACTTTGACCACCACAACCACACTCACCCAACCACCAACAGTTTTACCCAATTACCAGAAACCCACCCCCACCACCAATCCACCATGAAAATCATCTCTACCACCAAAACCCATCCCCACCCATCTAAAACCTACCCAAGCCACCATGAAATCAGCCTTTAACCGACAATTACTCAACCCCACCAACCCAAAAACTACCACTACCCATCCAGAAAACTCTACACCCATGTACCGCCCATCCAAAAACACCTGTACAACCTTAAATAAGCCTTCACTTACCACTTGCCCTCAGTCCCTCACCCACCATAAAATAACCCCAACCACTTGATATAGAAAAGAAACTTTACTTGAAAGAAGGGGTTGAACCGATGGATAAGTGGGAGTTGTGGTGGTACCATGGCGGTGACTGGTGGTGGTTGTGGAAAAAGTAGAAGGGAAAGAGTGGCTATGGATGTGGGAAGAGAAAAAGGTAAGAGGTGGTGAAATATGAAGTGATTACCTTACTAAATCTAAAACAAACAAGACAAATTTGAGGTCTAATCTTTCATTACCCCATGTTTTCCTTTCCCCTTCTTTAACCAAACACCCCCCCCCCAGTTTATTAGCTAGCATATATTTGAATGCATTAAATTTAAGCGTATAATACCTCCTCTTTGCGTAAGGATCATCATCATCAGCATCTTCTGTAATCCTATTTAACTGGTTAGCGCCAATTTCTCCACTATTGTCATTAGCCCCACCAGGGGATTGGTCAGGGGTGCCACCTGGCTCATTGTTATTCGCGGTTTGGCCATATGAGTTTGCAGGCATTCCTGCAATATCATTACAAGAGAAGGTAAATGGTGTTAGCTACATATAAAGAGCTGACTTCATATGAGCATTGTCTCAATTACCTTCTTGACCATTAAACGGAGTAACTCTGTCAGACTTATCTTCAAGTGCAGACAGCATAGATCCAGCAGGGAGTCGGCGGTTAGGTTGAGGTTTTGGATGATCATGCTGGCCCTTGTATATAATCTCAGTTATCGTCCCATCAGGTGATCGCTCAAACAATTTTTTAACTTCACAGTTTGGATGAGTACATTTATAATAACTTCGCGGAAATTCACTTCCCTTGACAAGCTTCTGTCCATACTTCCTCCAATTATATCCATCATCTGAAGTTCGCTCAGATACTTGAGAGCCTAATACTTTCTGCTCAGATGGTGGTGTTTGACCTTCATTATTAGATTCAGATTTTTGATTGAATTCGTTGGAATCAGCTTCGGTGGGTAAACCAGAGGATGGAGGTACCATAGTTGGTCTCTGTTCATTTACAGGTGCCGGTTCACTTTTAACTGCAACAGGTGGATCAGATGACTGAGGTGGACACTCTGGCTGGACTTGGTTAGCTTGCCCAGCTTGCTGTTGAATCAGATCGGAGGAAGAAGCCTAGTTTGCAACAGAAAAAATGAGGTAGGATACTAAACATATTATGATGGAGCTAGGGGGCAGGTTTTTTTTTTTTTTTTATAGTATATTTGCAGTCAATCCTCAAAAATTCTAAAACAACAACAAAAACTACTGGTAAGAGTTTAGTGCAATACGTATTGCCATAGTTACAGTCAACACATGTAACAGAACTATAAAAGGGGGGATTACATTCAACAATTTGTTATAGAATAGTAGTTCAAGCAAACAAAAGTTTAAAACAAAAAATCTGACGGAAGTATATTTACCAAAGATCCTGAGAATGCAAAGCCTCCAAAAGAATATGATCCTGTGTTAGGTTTGAACTCAAAGCCACTTGATTGAGAATTATCAAAGGTGTTAGAGCTATTAATAACAGATGGGTATGTGGTGGACCCACTAGATGAATTCTGCATCATTTGCGGCTTGAAAAAGGAACCAGTTGTTGGAGAAGGTTCTCCCTGAAATATATAGAGTTTATCAGCACAACGATTAGTTTTTCTATCTCAACGCCGCATCAAACTAAACCAATGCAGAGTTTTTAGCAAAACAAAACAAAAGGACCAAGCAACAAAAAGAAATGGAGATATAAAAAGATGGGGCTCTTATCACAGACAAAGAAAAGAGGACAGAGCTACCACCCTAGTTATCAATGTTTCAGTGAACTAGCATATCACTATATAGGTTTGACATATTTAACAATTGGAAACAAATCCACAACACTGAAACATAGCAAATGCGGCAAATTCTAAAGCATAATCCAGGTAATCAGACAACGGTAACTAACATGGAACAAAACTTTTCTCATCAAGGCATATCAAGAACAGTTGAAAAAAATTGATACTCTTACAAAAATATCTTAATGTGGTATAAAAATGGCAGTGAACCGTTGGACATCCAATCACGAAAAACAGAACAAAGACAGCCCACAGAGAAACAAAAGCAACAGCACCAAATGGAAGTAAAAAAGGCAAAAATATTCACTCTTTGTGAAGAAACAACGCTGCGATTTGAACAAAGAACTAAACCAAATCAAAAGGCTCAACACTTGTAAAGATTAAAGGACACAAGCATATTCTCAACAGGAAACAAAACCCTTTAGAATAACAATAGAAGATGGCACAACAAACCTACGTAACGAGCATCAGAATCTACACTCCCCTCCATTAACCCATTTTCTACAATTCTTTTCTCCTTCCATTACTGAGCACTTGTCTAAACAACGATTATCTAATAAACACATGAACAAAGCACCTCAATTTATGCTCTCTTTAATTCTTCCCCCCCTCGCCCCATCGTTGTTCTTTACATACATGAATCCCCAAAAAAAAAATTAAAAAAAAAAAAAAAATCTATACTTCATATTAATTAGTTTAAAATTAAGAATCTTACAGCCCATCAACATCCCAAAAATTCCCCACTAGAAATAATTGAAATGACTCAAAATTTCATAACTTTTCATAAGATTTTTAAAATATCTTCCTACTGCAAAAATAAAATATAAAAATTCCCAAAAACACAAAACCTCCATGAAATGACAATGTTTCGAATTCGATTCACCAACCTAATTAATTTTTAATACAAAAATAAAATCAACCACAGTAATATAGCTCAAAAAAATATCATTCAAGTAACTAATTCGTATCATTTTGCCCTCGTTAGTAAAAAAAAATCACCAAATTTAAGCTAAGAAACTACTTACAAACACCGATTCTTACAAATTTACCAATTTAAATTCAGAAATAAAAAAATAAAAAACACCCAATAAATTCTAATAAAACCAATTTCATGCATATCATTTAACCTAAACTGTCTTAAAAAAAAAAACTGTCCTAATTCAAGGAAAATTTCATCAAAATCAAATTCCAAACTACCCAGTACATAAAATCAAATTAAGCTCATAAAAAATAAAAAATTTACAATAAAAAACAAAAATTAAGGAGAGAGAAAATGAAGAAAAAGTAAAAACCTTGAGGTTGGAGAGGAAGACAGGGGACTCAAGAAACGACGTCGGACTGAACATAGGAGGAACTGAAATGCAAGACGACCTTGAGATCGGAAGTTTCGCCGGCGACATTAATTTATACTTTGCATTATTATTCAAATTATTATTATTATTATTATTAATTAAATTATTATTATTATTATTGTTGTGAAATTGGGGGTTTGATGAGGTGGGTTCGGAGGAGGTGTTGTTGCGAATATCAGAGGCGTCAATGGAGGCGATCATCAGACCGCCGGAAGTCGCCGGGCATTCGCCGGAGGAGGAGGTCGGAGGGGCGTCCATCAGAGCATCGACGGCGAGGGGTATTTTGGGGATTTCGAGAGAGAAAGAGGAGAAATGAGAAAGCGAAGAGAAGAGAGAGAAAAATGAGAAAGAGAGTGGGAGACGTGAGAGTGTTGACTAGTTGCAACGGATCTACAATTTGTGGGGTCTATTCTACTTGTGTAATGTAATGAAATAAAACGCTTTTTTTTTTTTTTTTTTTTTTTTAATTCACTTTTTGTATTTTTGTTAGGGGTGGGAAATTAAAAATATATAAATTACAATAATTAGAGGTATTTTACTCCATAATAGATTAAAAATATCGAAATTGGGGGTTTGATGAGGTGGGTCAGAGAGTGTGGCAAGATGTAATCCCGACTAGCATTGTTGATGTAGCTTTGGCTGATTTATCTAATTAATTCCTTTTGTGGATTTTTTCAAAAAAATATCGAAAGGTTAAGCTATGATTTGTCCTATTTCAAATAAGATAAATTGAGTGAATTATATGCACTTTTAGGGGTTGTTCTGATTTACTGAAGTGATTGGAGCCGAATTGAAATGAATTATTTATAAGAGATGTGTAAGACTGATATATTTTATAACTTGTATTGATGTCTGTGATTATTCATACTAATTAATTTTAGATGTGTAAGACTGATATAATATTATATGACTTCAAGCTCTCATTTTATTTTATGTTTTGATGGGAATTGAAGCTTTCATTTTTATTATACTACTTCTATTTTAAATTGTTTGCAATGATTTAGACATTTTTTTACTCAGTATATGTATCTATTACAATTTATGCACTTCGTATATGATTTAATTACATTGTTTGAGACATATAATCTAATTGTAGCATTATTACAAATTAAATTTAAAACCCTATAATGTAAAATTGAGACCTTGGTGCATTTCATGCACACAGTCTATTAACAATATTTATCATGGTGTGTTTAGCATAAAATCACATATATCATGTTCTATTATATTCTTTGAGGATACATGCAATGCCAACATATGTAAAAACAACAAGTTTTCCATTTATCTTTAATGAGTTTTATTATTTATCATAGTAGCAAACTGCATCAACATTTCAAGCTCACGAATAATATCACATGTGTGTAACAAAATTCTATTTACCCTACCTCTTTAAAAGTTGTAAATTAGTTCTTTTCAAATACATACCAAAATTAGCTTTTTAAGATAGTGAACCGTTTTTTAAAATTTAGGTATGTATCTACTTAAGTCGAATGCCTATAATTAAACAACTTTTTGACAGCTCATCACTAACAAATAGTCGATACGAGTAACAAGCTATAAAGCAATCAACAAATTTTACAAGTTTACAACAACTAAGATTTAATAAAAACTTGTTTAACTGAATATGCCTAAAAGATAGGGAAAAAAAGGAGGAAAAAACTTTAAGTTATGCAATTTTTCTCTTAACTATAACCAACCAATTGTTTCTCCATCTTATGACATGCATACATGTGTATAAATTACACCCGTCATGTATTCATTTTTGTTATGTTATTCAAAATATATGAAAAGGCGTTAATTTGTAGTTACACCTAGACGTATAAACAAATATATCCTACTAATTAAAGATAAAAGACTGGTAAAAACAATTAGCAAGATGCGCTGAATGGTAATAAGAAAATAGCTTATTAATTATAACTCATTTTTTGTGTTTAAAATTTAAAACTTGTGGGTGTGTATACATATATGTACATGACTATATGAGCAACATGAAACCAATAATTTGAGCCAAAAAGGGGAAAGGTGAATTAATTTATACTTTAAAATTCTTCTTTTTCCTAGTTTATCCATTAATCTATGAATGATGCCAAATATGATAAATCTTAAGGATAAATTATAAGATCATGAGAGGTAGAATAGTGGTACAACCTAATGATTGTCACTATGAATTTGGATATTTGTGTCTAAATTATCCCACTTGGTCGATAGACAAAAGGGGAAAAGCACCTAAATGTGGCCACATGGCCAAATCAAAGGACCCCAAAACTAATTATGGTGTTCGTAAACAAATCTACCAATAGCTTTAATGGGACATACACTATAAAAATTGAAAGATTAATAATGTTTGTTTAACAAAAGTAAATAAAAGTTTCTTCTCATATGTTGAAATTCAATTCACTTCAGTTCAGGTTCTAATTTCCTTCTCTTATAAAATATTCATTTCAGTTCAGTTGAGTTCAGTCAATGAGAACAAGCCCTAAATTTTATGAATTAATTGGTTAAAGTCTTGAGATGTGGATACTAATAAAGATTTAAGAAATTTCATCTATATTACCGTTTGTACGACTTAATTGAAATTTTCCAATTCAAGCAAAATTTGTCTTTTTAGCATAAAATCCTTGAGATATGCTAGATACTAATCAAAGAAGGGTCAAGCATGCTACTAACTACTTGCATTCCAAATTTTGAAACATGACAATTTAGTACTTCAATCACATGATATGATCAATTATTTTTGTGCAAAAAAAATTCAGACCAACCAATTCTAGATCTATAACTACCTAACAATAATCATAACTACTAGCATTTAAATTACATGAATTTTGGATCTATTGCTCACCATAATTCAACTCATGTACTAATACAGAAGAGTTTTGTAACAATGACTGATTTAAAAAGAAAATTTGCAGAAATTATGTAGAAAAGTAAATTGTTTATGCTCTTGGAAATAACCAATTCTACAACTAACTATGACTAAAATAGCTGTCTTTTGAGCAGTGTTAAACACTTGAAACCCAACAATGCTGAATTTAAGCCTCATAATATTGAAAAAGTGTTAATCACCTATGTATACAACATAACTATATCAGACCATTTAGAGGGCACATAAAAGTTTTAATCACCTATGTATACAACATAACTATCTTAGACAATTTTGTTTCAAAAAAGAAACAAAAGTTCAAGTGCACGTGCACTCATTAAGCGGTTTGTTATGTAGAAAAATCTTACTAACTCCATTGATTTTTTCCAGTTAGAATTAAAGAGTTCATTCATACTCTTTTTACGATCTTAACAAATACAAAATTTATAGCATAAGTCACCCTAAATATGAGTATTGAAAATGCTGCCTATTGAGACCCTTGTTACAGTTGTTTAGTGGCCTAACAATTGACTAATTGTATGAATGTGATTAATCCCACAAAAACATTCGTTTAGATAAGATAAAATTGAATTGAGAAGCCCCAACTCATGAATTAAAACAATTTGTTATAGAGTAGTTGAGTATCTTATAAATGTCCCTAACCAAAAAGGTTAGTTGAAATGCAATATTAATAGCCTTCGAATCAATAAAATTATAGTCATTGACAAATTCAACTAAAGTCTTACAATCTAAAGAGAGACTTTAATGTAATTTGATCAACAATAAAGCTTGTGTTTAATGGTAAATTAATTACTAGTATATGTATATTATTTTGAGATTTTGTAAAACCTAACCACAGTACCACACAATATAGAGGGAATATTAATTATTTTATTTTTTAAAAAAAGAATCTTTTTGTTCCTTAATAAATTGTGTGCTTGATTGAAATCAAGTCATGATATATTTTGTTACATAGATTGTCAATATGAACTACAATACTAGCTATTGTAATGGTTTTTCTTTTCACTTTTACTTGTACATATAGATATATATAGGTATTAGGTACTAGTATGCTTAGTAACTTGGTACGAGTAACTTAAGATGTGAATCAATTCCCGTCTACATCAATAGATTTTAAAAGCGAATTGTCTAAAAAAATATTCCACTTGGAAGATGTCAGACAGTTAGTCTAATCATCTAAAAGCCTACCTGAGTGGAATCCTTGGTCTTCTACCATAAGTTGAGTCAAGTGAAGCACAAATTCCATTAGAAAGTACAATCATTCTCAAATGAAATCGGCTAAAATTTGGCTGAAACAATCCAAGTATTTGAGAAACCTAAAAAGCTGCAAATTAAACACCCCATGTTCATATTCAGTACACTTGATCAGAATCCAATGTATGAAAACTATTCTAATCATTTTACTTGTAGAATCATTCTCGAGAATTACACTACAAAGGTTTAATCAGATCATTAACTCATCATGTCTTACTTCATTATTTTTCTTGTCATATGATGATATTAACATAGTTTATGAAAGTTGTCTGGATCTCATCTTTTTCTCATAGCTAGACCATTTTAATTCCTAAAACGGATAAAGCTATGTTTAGTTCATCTTATTTCGATATCTTACTACTTATTATTTCGTATTTTAAATAACTTTAGAGATGATCATCAAATCATATAAATCCTATGTACACTATTTTATTGCTTGATATTGTAATAAAAAAAATAATGAAATTACTTATTGAAAAACTACACGTTACTACAAATCTACAAAACCTCAAATTTTGGTCAAATCAAGCAATTAGATCAGATTAGAAAAAAAAAGGTCTAATCAAATTAGATCAGAATGAAAAAAATAAGTTTAGATTATAGAAAAAATAAAGTGAACTAAACATAGCCTAAATATAATTAACCGATATATTTGTATTTTATACATTTAAATTAAAAATTAAATAATAACATATGCGATTATTAGTTCTAAACTAAGCAAGAAATCTAGTTTTGATACACTTGAAACAAACAACATAGAGGCTCAATTTGGCTTGTGTATGAAACTAATGATAAATAACTTAGGCCCTGTTCTTTTGAGCTTCTGGGCAGGGCCGAGCAGGGGTCAACAGAGCATATTAAATTTCAGCAGAGCAGAGCAGATTTCAGGATAGCAGAGTAGAGCAGATTTCAGGATAGCAGAGCAGAGCAGATTTCAGGATAGCAGAGCCGAGCCGAGCAGAGCAGATTTCAACATTATTATTATTATTATTATTATTATTATTAATGTTGTTATTATTATTACTATTACTATCACTATTACTATTACTAAGTGCATATACCATTGATTTAGGCGAGTGAAAACATAAATATATGTATACCATATTTAACATATGTTAATAGTATAAAGATAAACGACAACGGTTTACTTATATTTATTTCACCAAAATTTTAAAATAAAATGATTTAATGAGTAATAATGATTTTACTTATAAATTTGTCTTAATAATATATTTTTAACCATAAAAATAATAATGATATACAAAGTACTACTTGAAAACAACCTCTTTTTTTAATTCTTAAATTGTATTGAAAGATTTGAAAAATAATTCAACTCAATGAACTAACAATCAATAACCACATACATATAATGTTTCTAAACATTGTGAATCTAATATCAAATGTTTATAAAAGAAATTTTTATTATTTGTTATTATTATTATTTATTTATTTGGAAAGAATTGTTATAACTATTAGAAATTATTAATTAATAATATTATTAAATATTAATTCTTAATAATTTAAATTATTAAATATTAATAATGATAACTATTATTATTAATTATTATTTTGATTAATAAATATTAATT